AAGTATAAGTCACTAGCAAATTTACTGAGAAAAATCAGCTGGGGGTGGGGGAAACCACTTCTAATCATAGTGGTAAGCATAGTGCTCTTCATAAAGGGATTGTATGAAACATTCTGGGTTTCTATTCAATAATTGATTGCTTAGCTAAAAAAAACATTGTTTTTATGCAATCTCTTGCTTATATACAGTTAATCTAAATTAACTGCTATGAGGACATTTTTGGGGAAAAGCATAAAATAAAATGTTTATCTACTGCACATATACAGCTCAGCTTTATCAAAAAAAATATACAAGGAAAATGTTATTTTTAAGTAATAGGTTTCAGCATACAATTTGTATACATTACTTGTTCCAGATTGGTATTTTTAAATTGTTTCAGCAGGGTTTTCCTTAGATATATTGGAGAATTGAAAAAATCACTAGACAACTTTTCTGTGAAAGTTCACAGAAAATATAAGAGTGCAGCAGTCTTAAAACTCTTGCTGTTTTCCTTCCCGTATTTTTGTAAAAATAGGTTTTAGTACAGTATTTAGTCCACCAAAAATTAAATACTGAAATAGGCTAAAATAATATTGAAATACTTATTTTTTAAAAATATCTGCTATTGCTATACTACTGTATACTGTATCGTCACATGTAAATTCATGCAATACACTGCTTTGAAGGAAAATATTGTATTTCTTTAAAAAAAATGAAGAGCTTTTCCAACTATCCACTTAACTTTGAGTCAGGAGAAAAGACTACTGTATAACATTTGTTGTCAAACTTTTTTCTGTTTCTGCTGATTTCATTTCCAGTCAGCCATCTGATTTCCAAGGACAAAGCCTATGATACAGCTTGAGAATGTCCTTGGACAATGTTGAAATAAGATGAAGAATACAGCTTTAATACTGCTGCAGTTGTCCCAAAAGTGCTTTTCAAAAGGAGCTTCTTGTTCTTCAGTTGTAATCGATGAAGAAAGAAGGAAAATTGACAAAGCAGAAAAAGTGTTACTAGGGAATATTTCTGCCATGATTAGGTGCAAGGGAAAAGGACTCCAGATTGGTTTAAAGCTGCAGTTTTATTCCCTTAAAACATTGCAGAAAACGACAACATTTCTCTTTAAAAAAAACACACACAATTCTATGTCCTTGTAAGAAGCACCCATGTAGATAGCACACTGGGTAGATTAAAAGAAAATTCTAATGTGTGTATGTAGACCATAAAATGCACATTCTAGTCTCTACTCTAGCCCCCTAAGTATATATACTTTAGTTTATACATAATTGGATGTTTAATTTGAATCTGCGTAGTTTGCATCATCACAGAACAAATTATGTGAAAAATGAAGTAGCTCTGAACCAGCAACTTATGAATTCAACAGTGATATTTTTTTGAAATCTCACATAGTGATGAAATACCTCTACATAATTCAAGCCAATTAGAATAAATAATTACCACAGATGGCATATTAAATTAATATTGTTTATCATATTAGAAAAAAAGTTTATTGCAGTTCAAGTAAGCTATATCTATACAGTGTTTAAAAATACAAATTACAATTAGAAAAGGAATAAAATACTTGCAGTTTCTGTTCTATAAAAATGACTAAAAATGTGCCAAAATTCTTCATTTTATTAAAATTAAAGCTGCATTTTGAGGAAAGTAAAGAACTCTAAGTATCAAAGGAATCCAAAGATGAAAATTAAAACCATGTAACTTTCAATATTTTGTTCATGTTTCCAGATATATTTTAACTATGACAATGAGAATTCTAAGACTTCAAAGAAGTTCATTCTTGTAGAGATCAACATAGATGCATAGTCTATATAGTTTGAAATATACAATGCACAAGCACAAAGTTCTGTAGTACTAGTCTGAAACTTAAAATTCTTCATGGTGAAAAAGTATTTCTCCTCTAGACAGAAACATGATTTAAAAGTTTATGTGCTGGTATGCTAGAAAATTCCATTGAAAGGAATGGGCTGTAACTGATTTGTTAGTAAATGGGGAAAGCTACATTTATTGTGGTGAATTTCTATTTTGATGACAAGTGGTATAGTTGCTTATCAAATAAATACAATGCTGTCTTTGTTATTCTCTTATACACATGAAAGTATTTGAATCATACAGCTTAAAGGAGGAATTCTGTTAACTGTTATGCTTTTACAAGAATGATATTTCTAGTTGTTAAAACAGCGTTCTTTGAGAATTAGGTCATCAGTGCCATGTTGAGAATTGAGTATTTCTATAGTTTCATGAGAAATATATCATTTTATGTGCACAGTTTGAATCTAGAAGTGTTTTGTGCCTTCCATTTAGCATAAAAGAATAACTGAACTACATTGATATTGCCACTATAATTGACATATTTTGTTTGGAAATGAGTATCTATTGTGTTTTCATCTGAAATATTTATGAGAGTGATATCCTAGAAGCATGCTGGACCTTTACTTCTTGTGCATTCATAAATGCAATTGCATACAATGTTTACAATACTTTCCTAAATTTATCCCTAAATATGCCCTCAGATTTAAGAGGCCTGTCATGTACTGTAAGATTATGGAAGATAAGGTGAATATTGAAAGATTACAAATCTATAGTTGATGTTCAGATTCTTTTACCAGAAGCAATTTGTCTCACTACATATTGGGCCCAGGAACCACTTAAAATCAAGAGTTTCTTGTATGTAGTGGGAAGAAATTTAATGACTTTGAATGCCATATATGCTTGAAATATGATAGGGGAGCACCAAGAATCCTTCAACAGGAGGAGAGTGATTTTTGCATCCTTGCATAATGCAAACAAAAACAAAGATAATACAACTTTCCATTATTTTCTCTGTATAGATGCTGGTGATAATTGCGATTAAGCAAAGTGTGATACATTCATACAATTCTTTAGTCACACCCTGCATTAGCTACTATTGTACAAATCTTCTATTAAGTTGTTATCTATTAGAAGACATTTTACACAAAAAAGTTTAAGGAACATGGCATTTCAAAAGAAAGTGCCTAAAAGAATATGTAACAGGTGTTTTTATCTTGACAAGTTTTGTGTGCAGTTAGCTAAGACTTTTCCTGATAAAATTTTGAAGGAAAAGAATATGTTTAGATGAACACACAGAGAGATTTCAGTATAGATCAATACACAATAAATAAAATAAGTGCAAATGTGCTCCTTTGAGAGTCAAGCATATTCCTCTTAGGATAAAAGTAAATAGATTAAAAATGATGTGAAAGAAGGCAGTAATCAAGATAATAATGAAAAACACAAGGTAAGTAAAAATAGTAAAATTTAATACATGTGCTGTACTTTAAGTTACTGGAAAAAATGACCACAAAATGTAGGAATTAAGAATAATTCTACTTGAGTAAACTGACAACTGAAGACTTCTTTTTCACAGCTCCATGTTAAAGCCTAGTGTTCATACAGAAAAGGCCTCCTACTACAGTACAGAGATTTCAACCCTTGTCCTATGTATTTCAGTATTATCTCTATTAGGTATGCATTTTCTAAGGATTTTAAATTCTCAGCTAATAATAACAGTTGTTTCTAGGCATACACTAGATTTTTTTTCTTGATTGGAATTTTACTACTGGTATTTATAAAAATCCACATCTGAACTTTATTAGAATAGGCTAATATTTTTACACAATGTTCACAAGTATCCAAGAAATCTTGCATTTAACAAAGCAAAATTAGAACATGACATTCGGCATTTGAAAAGAAAATGTTTGTTATCTTCTGCCTATGAATTAGGGTTAACCAAGATCTGAAAACCTTTACATGTTAATAGGTTCAGTAACAGCATAAGTAAGTCACAGTAATACTGACCTCACTCATACTCATCCTAAATGTTTGACCAAAAGATGTGCTTATAACGCTGTAATAAAATTGTGCCAGTATCATAAGTTGTCACACAAGTGTGAAATTTTGTTCTATTTGACTCTGTATATTTATATGCTATTCCAGCAAGTGTCACAATATTAGACTGTTAGCCGTTATGTAGGGGATATGCAACCTTAAAATAATCACATTTGTATTTTATGTTCTGAAATATCATTATAAACTGATTGAACTTGAAAGGCATGTCCATGCAGAGACATATTTTTCTGCAGATACTTATTCTGGAGCTTCTGTCTATAGGGACTGCACTCAAGTATATAGCATTCTTTTTTTTTTAAAGGCAAAGACCAGATCATGATGAAAAAGTTAAATAAATAAATGCCAGTTAAAACACACTTATAATTTTCTCTGTGCAATTTCATGTATGAAAAATACTACTGATTTCTGAACATCTATCTGCATGTTTCACTCCTGAAAAATCTGCTAAAAATAATACTGATAAAAAAAGAAAAATTGCTAATGAATTCAGTGCTTTGAGCCTATTAAAAACATTTACATTTCTAAGTTTCTTTCAGCACAGCAGTGACTCAACATGGAAATGCTAAAGAGTGTACTTACGTAATAAAATATTAGTTTTTAATTGCTTAGTGATTCTTAGCAGAAATTGGAATGTGTTAATTACATTTTTTCAGGATACAGTCTGAAGGCAAGTTGAGAGAATGCTAAGAGCTTCTCACTGCACCATTATCTATGGCAAAGAAATATTACAGCTTTAAAATAAGCTGCACAATACTCGTCTAACTCTTTCACATGAAAGCGTGTAAAAGCAAATCAGCAAATAAACTCTAAAAGTAATTTATAAGTATCCTTTTTCCTTTTACACACCGGATGTACAGTTTTTGTTATATTTTTGCACACCATCTGTATCTTCATTCTAGAAGAGTTGCATTGAGTCACATGAATATTTTGGATGCAATGTATTAGCAGATATAATCTTTGTATACTAATAATAGTCTGTTGCTTGTTGCTTTTTTAAAACAGTGCTTGTTGCATGAGGCAAAATCAGATGTCTATTCCTTTGACAAGGGATGCTTCCAGTGTGATATTGAACTCCTGTAATGTTTGCAACACACGGATCAAAGAATTCACAAGCGTGTGATCTTTTATCAATGCTATATCCTCATACATCTGAGCAGTGATGGGGCAGTCTGCCAACAGAGCAATCCAATGGTGTAAGAGATGATCTCTGTAAGGGAAAGTTTTAGAGGTCAAAAACAAGCATTAAATATTATCTTCTTTTGTAAGAAAAATACTAAATTTTCTTGTATTATCACTCCTTCTATTTAGCAAGCACATATCTACTACCTAGCTTTGGTGTGGACAAGCTAACTTGAAGCTCTCCACATTTTTTAGAACTATAACTCTCATAAGTCCTGAATGTCAGCAATCATAGCTTTAACAGAAGGCAATTGCATGGTGAAAGCCATTTGTAGACTTCATGCTGATACCTTGCTTGAGATCTTCAGAGTTCCAACCAAAATTCTGAAGACAATAGAAAGGAATTCCAAAATCTTTGGTTCCTTTAACATGTACTAAGTTTAACTATTTTAAGTAGAAACAACTCTCTTAAAAAGTACATATAATATTTGAATATAATTATTGCTTCAGTTTGTGCAATTCTTGCCCCCCAAACAAAAAAATAAAAAAATGGGGTGTGACTGAAAAAATTTCCTTCTCTGAATATTAAGACTTCTGAGACAAAGGACTGGGATGAGCAACAAGAGGTTTATCTTTGGGGGGAAAAAATCCTATCATAATAATTATTTCCAGAAGATTCAAATGGTTACTCAAATATTTTTTTCAAAGATCAGGCATATATATGTATCTTGTGCACATGTATGTGTGTCTGTCTGTCTCTCTGTCACCTATCAATGATTTGGGGTTTCAATCAATATTGGAAAATTGTGTACCTCTTCACTGTGGATTTTTACTCTATTATATTATGTAAAAACTATATAGAGCTCAAAAGATTTTCATTAACAACTCAGTTCTCAATTTTAAAAAAAACCACCTGTATTTACATCTCTCAATAAACTCATAAACTAATATAGTTCCAAATACTAGCAGTTCTGACGATGACTGGAATTTGATTCTGAAGATAATATTAATGAAAGAACAAAAAGGATTATTTTCATTCAGTTACAATCCCATTATAAATTTGAGGAGCTCAAATACAGTACCTTAATTAGAGCATAAAGTACAAAGATTAGAACTCTTGGTGAATATTCAAAAACAAAAACTCTAAGATTTCTTTTTCCAACACATTAATTTTCTTTTTGTGTCTAGGGTTTCTTGTGTTTTCAGTCTTTTAATCTATAATTATGAGCATTTATATATGCATGTATATTATCTCTTGTTATTTATTTTTTCTTAAACCGCACTGATTATTTTTTTAAAAAAAATCACTTGTCACAAAATAAATTGTTACAGATAATCATCTTCTATTTTAAGCTTCTAAAAGCTATCTAAGCGACCAAATACAGCACCAACCTGATCAACAGAATAAGGAAACAAAATAATTAGGAAAACATTCTAGCAAGCAGCTTACAGACAAAGCCATAGACATAGAGTCATACCTAGCTCCAAGGCAAACTAACATCTGAAATTTGCCATCTTTCCCAATGTTTCTAGGAGTGTTGTTGATGGCTGTTACAAAGCGACAAAAACTCCTCGCCCTTTTCTGCCAGTTTTCTTCCGGGACCAGTTCATTCTGATCAAGAGCTTCATAAAATCCTTGTGCTTTTTCTAAGGTAGACAATAGAATAAAAATGGTCATCTAACCACATCAGATTGTAACTGAATTATTTTTGTGTTTCTAAATACAAATTTTACTCTGATCACCTAATAACTATGAAGTACAGATAGTGCTCGACTTACGACCACAACCGAGTCCAAAGTTTCTGTTGCTAAGAGACATCTGTTAAGTGAATTTTGCCCCATTTTATGATCCTTTTTGCTACAGTTGTTAAGTGAATTACTGCAGTTGTTAAACTAGTGACACGACTGTTAAGTGAATCTGGCTTCCTCACTGACTATGCTTGTCAGAAGGTCGCAAAAGGGGATCACATGTCCCTGGGACACTGCCAGCAGGGATCATAAGACACTCTGGTAAATTGGTCCCAGCTTTTCTCTCTACTGCAGTACCCATCACTCACATGCAACTTCTGCCGGCCCTCCCCTGACTCATGCGCAGCCTGGCTTCCCCCATCTCCTTATGGCACCCCAAGCCATACCTGGGATTGCTGCCTCTTCCTGCTTAATTAAGAGCCATGGTGCAGTGGTTAGAATGCAGTACAGGTAATCCACAACTTACAACCACAACTGAGCACCATTATAAAATTTCTTGCCACAGTTGTTAAGTGAATCACTGAAGTTGGTAAGTTAGTGGTTGTTAAGGGAATCTGTCTTCCTCATTGACCATGCTTGTCAGAAGGTTGCAAAAGAGGATCACATGAGCCCCAGGACACTACAACTGTCATAATTATGAGTCAGTTGCCAAGCATCTGAATTTTGATCATGTGAGCATGGGAATACAGCAACAATTGTCAGAGTGAAAATGGTCGTAAGTCACTTTTTTCAGTGTTGTTGTAACTTTGAACAGTCATTAAATGAACTGTTGTAAACCGAGAACTACCTGTAGTATACCATTGTTTTCAACTTTGTTATAATGAGTATTAGTATAGAATGTATATAATACATAAAAAAGCAAATATCACTATACTTTCAAATTTAGAATTTGACATGCAGGCAATTGATAAAATGCCACTCATATTTTGTCGAGTGCTCTTAGTACCAAATATTATTTAACTATTTATATATTGCCTTGTCTCTTCAAATATTATCTAGAATAATTGCTTCATTTCATTTTCTTATATTAAGAATGGGTGTTAAAAGTTACTTCTAGTACTAAATAGTGTTTACTGCAATAACTAATAATTCAAATTACACATGAGGCTCATTTAAGAAGACAAAGTAGATATCATAGGATTGTATCTCCAAGCAAGTGTTCTCTACTTACCTAGAAAATCCCAAATAAAAACATTTTTGAACAGCCTAGGAGATTTAAATCCATGCTGGAACACTTGCTCTAGAGCTGAAACAAGTCCACCTTCTCCACAAAGCAAAAGTGTTAAACTTCCTCTCTGCCATTGGAAAATCAAACAAACATATTTTTAAATTGTTTATATATCTGTCTAACCATAAACCACTATAGCCTGTGAAAACTAACTGAACACTATACATATTTGCTATAAGCTACCTATATTACATATTGATTACAACTATTATATTAAAAAGATTCAGGAGTAAGGCTACAACAGATTAAATTTACTTAAAAGGTAGCAAAATGAGAACTACAGAATGAGTAACACACTAGAACAGGAATAGATAATCTATAACTTATATATAGCAACAGCCCTTTTACTGGTATCAGTGGAGACCCCCAGATTGCATCAGAAAGAAAACAATCAATTTTTACTATACAACAGCAGCCCCCAACTTTTTGGGCACTAGGGACCATGGAGAGAGGTTTTTCCATGGACCAGAGGGGACATGGTTTCGTGTGCTGCCTGCATCCTGTGGATGGGGCTATTCTTGTTTGCATGGCCCAGTTTCTGGCATGTTGTGAACCGATGCCGGTCCACGGACTGGGGGTTGGGGATGCCATACAACGTAAAGAAAGGAAGCAGGAAGAATACTAGCAGGCACTTGAAACTGCAGGGAGAATAGTGGACAACTTCTGTTTGCTATGGATGCCTATGCTAGCGGGTACCTGTAATAGTATGTAGGAAACACTTGGGGAGATGGGAGAAAGTTGCCTAAAGAATGCTCAGATATGAGAGGATATAGCCCGAAACTGGAAAGGGGGCAGAGCAAGACGCTCAAAAGGAATCCTCCCTAGCTTCTCGATTGTAAAGGAGATGGCAGGAATTTGTACTTTAACTTGCCAGGTTCTGTTAATGTAGCTTTACAATAAAGTAGAATTAGTTCATTTGGTCATGACTCCTGTTTGGCCTGAAAGGCCAGGCCTATAAAGGCTGAAGCACCACAGGATATGTCTAACTGCTACAAAATAGGGAAACTAGTGAAAATATCAGATGAGAAAGTACTCTGTGTATGAAAATGAAGGAAAGTATTGTTGATTCAGAGTCACACAAATCAAATTCCAAAATTGCCTCTCATTTTCACAGTGAGGTTCACCTAGCCCCTTTTTATCAGATAATAACAATTTACCAAATGCGCATGCTGGCTGACTCCCAATGACTCTGAGCGGCTCATAACAATTGAAGGAATTACAGTAAAAGACAAATTAGATGTAAATGTATATTTCAACTCTGCTAATACTGATCAAATGAACTTAATTACAGCTTCCAAACACTTGAAAGTCCTAATAAAAAATGCCACAGTATGAAATTATATATAATATGATGTATTTGATAATCCATACCTTTACATTAATTAACAATTATATTAGTCAATTCTAGGCAGATATCAATCAAGGAAAAAATTATCAACCCCCATTATTGCCATGTATAGTAAGCTTACCTCTTTCTCTGGCTTGTGGAAATGTTTGACAATTCCATTTACAGCTTCACCAATAGATTCTTGTATCTGACCTGTATTTAACTCTGTGCAAAAGGAAAAATTATATATTTAAAAAACCTAATCCGATGTCTAGTTTATACACAGATAAGTCAAGTCCTTTTAAAAATAAGAATGGAGAACATATTCACTCTCTTTTATAGAACTTTTTAATTTATGTATAATCTGTAACTTTTAAAAGTTACAGAGCAGCATACCACAAATAATAATCCTATAATAAACAGCCTAAAATATGTAATAAAATATATTGAGCCTTCTGGATAATAGGTTAAAAAATTAACTTTGTAGCTTTGTCCTAGTTTTGAATCATAGATCTGAAGAGGGCACCTTAACCTTAAGGACAAATCCTGTTTACTGCAGGAAGTGAAATATTTCCAGCAAATTGACAAGCTTCTGCTTGAACACATCCACTGATGGGAAGCCATCCAGCTCTCTGGATAATTGGTTCTCCTGTAAATCTGTTCTTCCTGTTAGGAAGTTTGGTTCTCCCCCGCCCCTCCGAACCTTAAATACAAACTTTTTCCTAGTACTTATGCCTTATGCTGTGCATCAATATAGAAGAGATGATGGTCTTTTTTGTATCTTTCAAATACTATACAAGAATACTATCCTATCTTCTCTCAGTCTTCTCATGTTTAAAGGTTCTCATTTTTTTAAATTCACTCCTGTAGGATTTAGTTTCTAATAAAGGACTTAGTACACAGGGTGGTGGCTGACCAATGCAGACCAGCAGAACCAAATGACTTCTCATGATGTAGAAATTATACTTCCATCAATGGGGTTTAAAACTGCATTTCCCTCTTTTTTTTTGTTTTTTTGTTTTTTGTTAATAGACGGGTCACATTGTAGATTCTGATTCAGTCTGTGATCAATAATAACATACTTGTGCATTCTGCAGTTGTCTCTAGTAAATCAGAAACATACTTTTTCAGTACTGTTGTAAGTTCAAATGGTCGCTAAACAGGACTGTCATTAACCAAGGACTACCTGTATATACTTGTTTGTGTGCATACAAAGTTAAAGCATCAAGATGCCCATATATGTTACTATCAGTCCTCCCAGGGTAAAGACAAGCAGGACTGGCTGCATCTACCTGATATTGATGTTGTAACAATGTGGCTGCCAGATGCTTAAAGGCTAGTAGTATTCTTGGAGGATGGGAAGCCATTCTTAAAATCCCTCTCTTTGGAAGAAAATAGGAGATTTTCAAGATTGATGTCAGCCTTCCCAGGTAAACCAGGCAGGAAACAGGACTAGGCAAACCAATTATACTTTATTGTAAAGTAAGGGTCTTCAAACTTGGCAAGTTTAAGACTTGTGGACTCCCAGAATTCCTGAGCTAACATGACTAGAGGAGGAATCATGGGAGTTGAAGTCCACAAGTCCTGAAGCTGTCAAGTTTGAAGACCTCTGCTGTAAAGCTACATTGATAGAACCTTGCAAATCTGAAGGCACAAACTTCCCAACATCATTTTTAAGTGCTTCATCCCTCAAGATGGCTCCTTCCTAAATTTCTTTTTCTGACCATTAAGCTATTAGGGCCCCTGCCTCTCTTGTCTGATTGTTTCCTAGGCAGAATCTCTTCCCCTCTTTGCCAAAGATTATTTACAATTCCATTATAGTTATAAAGCAGGTTACATAGGAAAAATTGTTATTTGGCAAATGATGTTAGTAGTTACCCCGCACAGGCTAAGGGCAATCTTCATAATTTAAATTAAGAAAACCTCTAACAGGTTTATAAAATATCCAGCTTGTAGCCATTAATGTTTTCAGCTTTATATTATAAATTTAATCAATAAATGTTGTATTTCTTTCCTCAGTCAGTAAATAAACCAATATGAAGTTTATTTGCAGCAATATTTATGAAACTTGCATGCATACTTGAAATTATAACCAATTATATCAATTTAGTTTTAATAGTATGAATTTTGGAATGATTTACAACTGATAATTACAGAGAACAACATATCAGCAGTTTTGAGAACAAACGAGTGGGTATTCTATGCCATTTTTCAGGTAGCTCGTTCTATCAGTAGAAAATACTATGAGTGAAAGTAACTACAATCTACCCAACTTACTTGGCTTGTTGTTAGGTGATATGGTGACAAATCTTCTGATCATGCTAGGGGATTGCTGCAATGGGGGGGTTCTGCACTGTCTTTCGTCTACTTCAGTATGAGATGTTAGCAATTCACCCACTAGGATCCTTTCTAAGCTGCCATCATCTACACCTTTTCCAAGCCATCTTCCACATGGAAACCTGAGGAAAAAAATAAGGAAGAGAGAGTACCGTGGGGTCATTGTGCTCATATTGTACTTTTAAACCGACAGCATAGCACAGACTTGATTTTCCTCTGTAAGGTGAGTGTGCTCCATTGTAAATATTTCCAGTTACTGTATAATTGAGCCAGCAGAATTGTGTTCATGCACTTGAGAAAAGACAATTCTTGGGGTATTGAGAGCTACAACTGACCATCTTGAGTTTTTGAAAGATCACTGAAAGCTATTTGATGATGCAATGTTTCCACGGGAAGAGGCACCACCAACTCAGCAAACTCAGTAAATCAGCTTTAATTGATTTACTATAATTTGACTATTTTGTTGCTACATTTCGGCAATGCAAGTTTAGGATAACGGGGGGTTCAAATAAACTCATTGGGTTGCCCACCCCTGATGTAACTGTTTCTGTCTCACAGGGACACATAGCCTAACTTTTGGAAATAAAAAAAGTTGAAGATTGTGGATTTAAGCATATAAATATTTGGAATGGACTGCAGAGGAGGGTGTAATACAGTAGAACAATTTATGCTGTCAAATACGATTAAAAAAATCAGGATGTGTACTGTATAGGCTCCATTCTTCCATTAGATTCCAGTTTATGCAGAAGTCAATGCACAGAGAGCCATCTCTCTGATGCCAGCCGTCGCCATTGCTCTTCTGGGTTCTGGCATGCGCATGCGTGCTAGCCAGCTGGTCTTCGCGCGTGCAGGAGTGCTGGAAACTGGAAGAGCATCTCCCCGGAGTGCATGTGCATGCCAGACATGCTGGTCTTTCCGCGCACATGCACATTAGAAACTGGAAAATTAGGTAGCTAAGCTTCTAGTTTCTGGCGCTCTTGTGTGCACGTGTCAGGGAGCTGCTCTACTGATTTCTGGCACACACGGTTACGGGCGCTCCCATTTCAGCACTCGGTGCCGTCGTCTACATTAGCAGCTGATTTATTTTCATAAAATAAGAAAACAAAATGATACCCATCTGGCCAGATGAAGTATTTATTGTTTGGAACAATTATAGAAACAAAAAAAAATGAGGCCATCATATTTATTGTACTATAAATGAATTTATTCAAGAATTCAAATACTATTTGTACAATGTGTGAACTGAAAAAAACCTTACTTGTAAGTGTGACCCGTCACTTCATTTCTGACCATCACATATTCCACTAGCCACTTGGCATACAATCCAGAATTATCATGTCCCATCTGTACCGTAGTAAGTTTTCCCAAATTCTGACACTACAAATTAGGAAAAATTGAATATGTTGGGTAAAAAAAGTCAAAGAGAGAAAACAAGATGCCTTCATTAATGTACATTAGAAGAGGGAATATAACTGGACTTTAGGCAGACATTGGAGAGGCACAAAGACAAACATCTGAGTTAAAGTTTCAAAGTCAATTCTATTTTGCTCTGCAACTGGAAAGCAACAGAAATGCAAGGAAGAGAAGGCAGTTGACACTCTCAGAAGAAGCTTGGAATTTTAACTAGGGTTTAAAAGATAATATGATAGTTGCCATTTTCTCCAATATGACTCAGTAATTGTTGTTGATGGGAATCCTCTCTCTCTGAAGGAACAGGTCCACAATTTGGAAACATATGGCTGCTGCAAGAATACCACAGGAAATCCATGGGCAGAGAATGCATGTCCAGCATTGGCTAATCTGCTGGCTGCTCCCCTTTCTTGACTATGAAGTTATTGCAACATTTATTTATGTCCTGAACACCACTCTTAACGTGCTCTATATGTCTTTGAAATGACCCAGAATTGCAGATGGTGCACATTGCAATGGTTGGGATATTAATAGCTGACAATTAGTACTAGGATGTCCTCTGCTTACTGTTCAAGCTATCAATTAGTTTCCAAGTCCAATCAAAATTCTTTATTACTTATAAAGCTTAAGGATTGTCCCTTTCAAATGGACTTTGATGATACATGCATTGTAAAAGGGAGGTTTGCTTAGGGTCCTATTTCCATGAGAGTTCAACTGAACACCAAGGGGAATGCATGCAGTATTCCCCCTCCTCCTTCTTTGTAATACTAATCCTAGAGAGACACCAGGTACCTTCCTTGCTGATTTTCCACAAATCATTGAAAGTTCTGTTTCATGAGTCCATCAATGACTAATTATTTATGATGATGGATTTTTGGTTTTGGATGCCCATCTTTCCCCCCCTTTGTTCTGTGGTAAATTAACTTTAACTTTATAAAAACCTTGAATCTATTGTATAAGCCTGCCAATGTATTACTAAGGACATTACTAAGGGTAAATGCTACATTTGAAAGAAACAAATTTCAAAATTAGATAGTAGTAGAACTTTCTCAAAACTTCAAATTAAATGCAGAAAAAGGGAAGTCTTTCTCCTCTTTTAGTAAACTTCTTTTTGTGATCAAAGTTGTCCGTTTACTGGATCCATCAAAAATAAATATTTTCAAAGGCCAATCTATTAAATTCTCTCCCTCCCTCTCTCTTTCTTTCCCTCTCCTATCCCACCCCCAATCTCCATGCTTTTCTATTTTGTGTTCCTTTAACTTGAGGTAATACCCCATGACTCTAAGATACCTGTAGTTTTGAGATATAAAGCTGCTGAAAATTTAAAGGCCAACTGTGGAAGGTGTATAAGCTGTTCCCTGTTTTTTTTTTAAAAATTAAAGGGCTACTTATTTTACATTATTACAATGTAGCCCTTGATCATTGAACATTATTTTTTGAAACAAAGCACAAGGCTTAGTGATTGAAAAGTTGCCTTCTTCTGTTCAACAACAACATGAGAGATACCTCAAATGTCATCTCCAGCATATTTCTTGGAATCTGCAGGATTCCTGTTTCACCCAATTCTCCTGAAATGCATATCCATGGGTTGGCTGTAAACATTGAACCACCAAGTTTTTTGCTAGGAACTATCAATATATGATATGGAATCACTGTAAAAAAGAAAACACACATACAGCTGGGTAATTGTCTCCAAGAATAAATGCAGGGGGAGCTTTACTGAGCTTCTTCAGCAGAATCCACTACTCCAGAAATGTATATTTCCCCAGTGAGAAATTACCCAGTAAGAAACTTTTCCAGTGAGAATTTTCCCAGTTCATTTTGTCACCCTTCAGGCATTAATACATTATGCTTTTTAATTTTATGTTTCAATTGAGTTCTTAAACCAATCATGTCAGCTTAATTTTATTGATTTATATTATGAATTATATCAGTTTAAAAAAATAAGTAATAGTTTAGAGTGTTATATGTTTGCTGGGGATATTTTTGAAGAGCAACTTAGCAAATTCTGAAATACATACATACATACTTTTCTTAAATCTCTTTTTAAAAGTATTGCTTAGCAAAGCTGTACTTAGTAACTGAAATCTTTCATGAACAAGCTAAATAAGGTTTTAAGGAGATGTGTGTAAAAATCATCCTTCTTCTTTAATACTTTTTAACTTCCAGTATCAGCACAATACTGGCCTCATGAGCCAAATGAAAAAAAAAAAAGCCAGCAACAGCATATGGTAAATAAAATGGGAACGGATCTTACTTCCATCCCTTATACTATTTTAGTGTTTACTAAAATACTAGGTATAAATCAGGGCTGTCAAACTCCCGCCCACCCTGGCCGGATGCATCACGTGCTGGCCATGCCCACTCCCGGTTTAGCGAAGGGGGAGAAAGTCCCGATATGTCATGTAATACTGCCATGACGACAGTTACAGTTGTGTTTAGCAAAATTATAGATATGGTTTTATTCTCTGTTTATAAATGAGGCCGTTTCAAAAGGCTTTTAAGAATCAATGCTTCCAGGAAACCTATTTATATAAATACACTAATATTTTTATCCAAGGTAGAAGCAGATAGCTACCCAAATATGCACATACAAATACCTGTCTCACAATTAAAAATATTTATATCTATAAACTGCCTTTTGAAAATTACTTTCAAAAACACATTCTATGTAAGACCTATATGCATGCCCTATAGCTATCAAATTGCATTCAGTGTCTTGTACTGACCAATTTTCATTTAAATATCCTTAAGCATTTTGGTGGTTTTTCCTTTTTTCACTTCCCACACACAGTCATGACTTTCTATAACAAATTTTGAGGGTATACGAATATCTGCATAGGGAGAGAAAATGTTCTCTTTCCAGCTTACCAATAAAAATCAATTATAGCAGTTAAATATATTTCCTATCACATCTGAAAATAAATATAATTATAGCCTCCCTGGTTTGAGAAATCCAGATTTTAAAATCTGAATAATATGTTGGAATTGATACTAATTTATGAATAATTAACTTATTTTTATTTTAAGATTTTACATAATTTTTAGAATCTGTATTTCATGCATTTCATTTTCCTCTGACTTTTCTCCTAAGACTTTTAGCTCTCTGTAGTGATATACATATACAAGTCATATGAAAATAGTATTCCATGGATTTGACAAAGTGAAATCTGAACTACAAAAGTTTACTACAGAAAATTAGGTACCACAAGATAATTTGGAATTTTCCAATAATAAAAAGTTTTACTTACAAATTGTTGTAAAAACATTGGTGAAACAGAAGTAATCTACAGCATTGAATGACAAGAGATGATACAGAAACTGTTCTTTTTCATCATCGCAACGGAGGAAAGCATAGCGCTTGTAGAGTTTTCTGACAGAAAATAAACACTTTATAATTAGGAGTTTCATTCTGACAAAAACTAAACCAATGGTTACTGCTTTATAGTTTTTTAGATTCTGTATATGCTTTATATAAATTTCGATCCACATTTCTTTTTAAAGGAAATAAACTATTTTAGAAATGTGAAAAAATGTGATTGTTGAAGGGTAAAGATCCAGATAAAGAAATAAAATACTGAGAAGTTTTGAACCATTAAATATTTCAGTCCTAGTTTTAGTATCATCAGAAACTATTTGCAATGTTCAATGCAAGTATATTAATGCTCTATTCAGATTTAAGAGTTGTTGTGTTTAATGGAATTAACACCAAAGACATAAGATGTATAGACTGCCACTTAAAAAAAAAAAAGAAATAGTAATTAATAGAACAAGAAAATTGTAGATTGATTTACTCTCTTGGCTAAGCACAATTAAATTTAGTCTCTATTACCTGAAAAGTATGGGAAAACAAAGTGCTGAATATTAGTATATATATATTTAGTAGATTTAAATACTGTTTTCACTCAGGAATTTGAAGTAGTATATTTTCCTATTTTTTCCTAACATCAACAATCCTGAGAAATAGATTAGAATAAAAGGGGCTAGCCCAAAGTACTCACTGGGCTTTGTGGCTTAGGGTATCCAATAAATTGAATCTTCAGGTTCCTAATTCTAACCTTAACTATAATCATTTCCCTGCTCTGCCCAGTGTGTATGTCCCTTTCTGGAATATTTTTATTTTTTTAAAAATAATCTAATTAGTTATTTTTCTTAAATAAATCTATATCTCAGAAAATAATTTTATTCCTTCCAAAATGGAAAAAAGATATTAAAAAAAGACTTTTTTCCAATATTTCTCAACATTTCCAAAACTATTATATGTTAATTTAGAAAAAAAAAATAGGCTTGTACATTTTGTGAAAGTATGAATTTTGTCTGCGTGGTATATGACAGAGGTAAAACATATTCGACAATACATAAAATACTCAGAAAATGTTTCAACACTGAGCAACACATATATGCACAATAATCCTTGGTTGTTTAAATTATTTAAAGATAAATGTATAAGAAATAGTTGCATATTAAAATTCCACTCTGCCCACTTTAAGATGTGAAAATGAGAGTTGCATAGATCAGGAGAAAGTTGACAGTTGAAAGTGGGATTAGGTTACTAAAAGGGGGGATTGTAAAAGAAGAGTTGCGATCAAGAATGGATGAGTACTAAATGAATGTGGATTGAATACAAATTGAATCGTGAGCAAGAAATACTTGAAGTGATTGGTCATATATAGAAAATGAACATCAAGCTAAAAAATAAATATATGAAGGGAGAACGGGCCAAAGAATGAGAAGACCAAGAAAGTCAAGGCTGGATAGAATTAATGAGATTCTCATGAAGAGAGGTGAGAAGTTTTTTAAAAAAGAAGATAAAGTATGGAACAATGTATGGATATGGTGGAAGAATAGATAAGTTGCAAGGTTAAATGATATTTCAAATGGATTGGTGTAAGCTATATTTAGTTTTCTTTCTTTTTTTCCTCATGCCAATTCATAATGGCATAGAATTCTTGGATTAAATTTTTGAGCTCATATCTTAATTTTAAAATTATCTTCTTTTACAAATAACTATGAAATCCATACAGTATGCCTTAAGTATCTATTGGTTTTGTTATAAGACATGATAAGTGAATTTAAAAGGAAATATGAAGCAATTCATGTCCATTAAGCAAATGATTGTTTCAACGTACTTTGTGAGTTCATAATCAGAAAGAAGGTGTTTCAGATGTCTGGAAAGTAATTTCTTTTCCATGGAGAGCCGAACCCAAGCTCTAGCTTTACCAACATCAGTTTTGATCTCACTTATATTCTGAATATGCCTGAAAGAAAAGCAAAATAGATTATACTGTTAATATTGCCAAACCTTTTACTGAGGAAGAGAAATACAGTAGAACCTCTGGTCACAAACACTTCTGACCACAACCAAATTGGGTTCCAATCAAAAAATTCACAAAATTTTTGAATCTGGTCATGAACACATACTCAGGTGGTTATCAAACACAACCCCTGACCCAGAAATTCCTGAAGATGAAACATTAGAAGATGAAGAAATTGTCAAAGTTATGGAACGAATTATGGTCATGACCAGAGGTTCTACTGTAGATTCATTGATAATATAGTATCAATAAAGAAAATGAAGTTTCTCTTCTAGCATAAAGATGAAATAAAAAATGTATAAGCATAAAAGAAATATAGAACATGCATACAACAAAAATACATACCAAGAAAAATATATACAGCTCAGAAAAAAAGGATTTTTTTCTACTTAAGTGACATGTAGATTTCCCAAATTCACCTGTGACATGCACTTTCTGGAAGACATTTGTCTAACTTCCAATCCCCTGAACTTCACAGTCCAGAGAACTTCGGATGGTGGTGTCCCCACCTGAGACAATTTTTGAATTGTTTCTTAAAAATTAAGATTTAGCTAATTATACTAAAAGATGGATTTTTATTTTTTCTGGTAGATTATTCTGTGAGTTAGAATTGTAAATGCTACATGATAAGACAAATTTTTAATATTGAAAAAAAAGTATGTTCTAGAAAGTGTATAAATGTTATGTAATTTAGAAACTCAATGGTTTCTATCTGTAAGTTCACACTGACATGGCTAGAATGCCAGAAGTTAGAAAAAAGAGTTCCTTCTCCAAAGTTTAGAATTGGGATGTAACACTGATCTAGTAAAAACATGTCCTTGGTATTCCTGTACTCCAAAATAGCCGGAGAGCTGATGCTGCTAACAAGCTGTTTTGCTTGGTTAGCCCAGCTTTGCATTATACTGTATGTTAGTAGATCTTTGAATTCATTTGCCCTACCAAACCTAGTCAATAAAGCCACAGTTATGTGTTAAGTCTGGTAATTAATTTATTCTTGGGTCTCTTAAAGGTATACAAAATCAAAATCTACATTTAATTTTCAGTCTAAGATTGACTGTAGACAGATTATTATCTTTATGTATTGTCAATGTATTGTCAACAAATATTTTATTTAAAGTATTGTCTCCAATAGATCCTGAGGTAGTGATCTTAAATAAGAACAGACATTTTAACAAAATTGTAGTGAGATCATTTTTCAAAATTAGCTGAAATTTATATTTCAATCTTTACCCAACTTACTAAATATTATCTTCCACTGAATATTCCTGGTATATACTTTTCAATAAACTGACTTAAGATTCTGATGCTTGCCTAAATACAAAATGATCTTAATCAAAATATAAGAGTAAAATTAAATAATTAAAGGAAATACTTTAAACTTAAACTTAAGTTGTCCTTAAAATATGATTAAAACTTTTATCAGAATTTTTGGGATTTAAAAAAATCCAACCTCATGTCCTGGATGAGGGATACTCTTAAAGGAGACATTCCTGGATTGGCATCTGACTTCCTTCTTTCAGCATCTAGAAGAATTCCTAAAGTAAAGATTACAAACATTTAATTAAAAGTTTAAAAAATGCAAATGCTTTGATTTTGAGCAACACTTTTGAGTAGTCATTCTACTATATAGGCTCATATATGAGCTCCTCTGTAGTCTTCATTGTCTCATCAGTTGATGGTCACATTTTACATTCGTTGTGATGCTCATATTAAGGAATAGTTTTTATCTAAAAGACCTATAGCTTGATCAACAGAGATTTGTGTTTCTTTATTTGTCATATTCTCTGAAAAATCTATTCCAACTTGCGTTTCTTCTACTGAGAGCTGGTAGATGCAAGAAAACATGGTATTGAGAGTGGAAGTTAGTAGATCTGAAATCTTTTACCTAAAAAAATCTTCAAAACTATTCTTTGAAAATGAATACTGTATGGACTTTGCTTTTAGAATAATTAAATTATGTTTCCAAAATGCAGTTGGATCTGCATAGATCAATAGTTTGGGAGAATGGGGGCAGAGGACACGATATAAGTGATGCGGCTAGCTGAAATTGTTTGAAGGCTTTGAAGTACAGTTCCAATGCATACTATGGCATGATTTCAAATGTGTACAATCAGCTAATCAAGTCTGGCTAACCAAAAGCATTGCAATTCAAACACATCAGCTTTTATGTATTTTGAACAATTCCAGAATAGTGTGAAGCGCAGTAATGCAGGACATATATGTTTCTTGACTCAAAATAAGCTATATTTTATACATAAGAAACTAGCTCTTGGGTTGTACCAAGTGCTAATAATAACATTTACTTTTCACTAGTTACCATTATATTCTTTGGACAAATTAAACAAGCAATAGCTTAAGGGAAGAACTGGAGGAGCAGTATCTGCCCTTTGACTCAAAACACATCTTTAAGCAACTCATTTTTTTTACTAAGATTTAAAACTCTGTGTTCCACAACTAGTCCAATAATTGAAATCCCACTAAATTTGACTTTTAAAGTCCTAAAATGAACTTATAACAAGTACAGTGCTGTGAAAATGTAGACTAAAACAAATTACTTCAAACACAATGATGGTGTCTTTCTCAGAAAGGATTATTTATTTTAAAATACTAATTCTAGGTGATACCTACGGTAATAGAATATTTATATTCCAGAACAGTTCTCAAAGTATGGTCCAGAGACTCCTGTGCACCTCCTTACAGGGTTCACAAAGTAAACAAGTATTTTAAAGATGTTTTAATTACAGTAAATATCAGTAGATGTAACCCACACAACCAAAGCTCTTCGATGTCCTCTGTAATTTTTAAGAATGTAAAGAAGTCTTGAAACTAAAATGTTTTAGAACCACTGTTCTAGAATAATTATTATCCTGAGAATAGAATTTATATCAGAGTTAAGCTTTCAATAAATATATAATTATATCTTCTACATACCTCTGTTTTTATTAGAATTAAGAAATATTTGTGGGTTTTTTTTCTTGTACAAAATGGCAACATAATTTTTATGGAAGAAAACTGCACCTGAGGTACTGAAGCTTCCAGATGTAGATTTTCGCTGTCTGTTTTCTTGGTAATGTAACAAGTGTGACCACAAGGCAGATTTCCCCTTAGATTAAAAAGAAAGATTCATTGTCAAATGCAAAATAAATTACTAATACAGAGCATGACACATTATATATGTTGTGCTTTATTATAAAAAAAGATCACATAAAAAGTACTCTCTTCAATCAAGATAATAAAGTTGAGTCATAGAGGAAAAATATATATTCTAAGTCAAGTGTGCATATTTTGGAATAAACTTCAAAAGATTTTCAGACTATTATGAAAATTCCCATGCTCATATTTGAAATCAATTTGGGTAATTCTATAGAATGAGATGGAAAACCCCAAATCGCTTGAGAAGTCCATAATGCTGGGAAAGGTGAAAGGGAAGAGAAGAGGATGGCCAGGAAGATGGATTGATTTAGTTGCATGACAGGTGCATGCTTGGGAGACTTGAAGGGCCAAGATGGGGACAGTTCATCCTGGAGATCTCTGTGGTCAGAATGGACACCACCTTGATGGCACATAATCAACTGACTAAGATTGGGGTACTTGTTCTGGTATTTTGGGGAGTTGTCTATATTCTCTAACAAAGTGATTAAATTTTTAGTAGTTTATAAACATATAAACACAAAAATGATAACTCAGTACCAAGACTGTAACTACTGCATATTATAAACCTACCCGGCAGCCCCAGCTCTGGTAGGGCTGACACCTACAGATACATGCACACATACACATAATGTATTTTATACAAAAAGTTGTTCTTCATTTTAAAACAAATAATCGCATCAAAATGGATTGTCAGCTTTTATTATCTTTTTTCTTTTGGTAAACAGAAGTTAATGTAAGGAGCAAGACTAATCCAATTTATTAAAAAAGTGATTTTCTCACTCATTCTCATTCTCAGTCTTTTATGTGATGGGGTCATTTTATAATGCATAAATTCACATTTCATATGACAGAGTATGGATTATTATTCTTTGTAACACAAATGCAACAATTCTTTGCATATTATTTGAGGAGGGAAAGGCTGCTTATTGGAAATTTGTCAATGATATTATGTCTGTCCTAGGACAGGGACATCATTACAATTTTAGTTTACATTATATTTTTATATACCCACAACTATATTTTATTTATCTCAAAATTTTATTTTGGTCCAAAGTCCTTATATAATATGTCTCAGTTTGTTCAGAGTCCTGAGCTAACCTCAAAGCCTTTACTAGATTTTTAGGTTTCCTGTAATATAATACAGAGAACACACTGTAATATAGTTTTATAACAGCTAATTCCACAAAGTTATATGGAACATTGTTAGAATTCCACCCAGAAAGTTCTATCAAGGCAGGAACAGAAACTTGGAAATGGGTGCTCTAATCACTATAGACAGCTAAAATATAAGGTAATGAGAACACAAAATAATCACATAAGAAAAAGCGTTCAACATGTGGAGAAAATATTTGATTTATAAATGGGTGAATTATTCTTCTGCCTATTTCTGCCATTATACTAAAAACTTCAAGCACTTAATAATCATGGAAGCAAAAATTTCCTAGCCAGTTCCTAAAAACAAAATAGAAAAGTAGAGCATCCATTCACAGAAAGACATTTTATATCAATCCAAAGCATCTGTCCAATCTTTATGGAAGCAAGAGATGAACAACCAACCGTAAGGCAAATGTCTCAGATATCAGTGGCCAAATGAAAAAAAAATTATATATTTCCTTGTTTGTTTATATAGACGGATAATCATGCTTTCTTGCTACATTTCAAAAGTGGGTTTTCCCAATTGGGCACAAACTCATCTGTGAAGTTTTTTTTGCTATAATTTAATTTGATCAGGGTATAATTTGTGTTCCTAAAGGTTATGTATAGAGTTACCAGAATGCCCCCTCCCCTCTATTCACTGCTTTCTATCACATTATGGTAGACCGCATCTAAGGAGATAAACATGACCATGTAAATCCTCATCCTCTCTGTCCTTTAGAGGCAGGTGACAAAGCAACGGTTCACTGGTTCTTATTCACCTGGGCACCCGCTGTATGTTGAGAGCTGATCAGAGGGGACCAATAAAGTACAGGACTTCTCTCTCTCTCTTACACACATACACAAACAGAGGTGAAACATAGGGACTTTAAAAAAAACACAAGATATATCAGAAATATCTAGCTAACTGAAATCTCATATTTCATGCACATTTCAAAACAATAGCTATCAGTTCAGAATTAGTAAGGATCATAATCTTTCAAGCTGTATTTATTGTATGTATGTATGTTGTATGTACTGCATGTAATGCATAACAATATTTCCAGATTCAAACAAAAGTAGACATCACCACTGGAGATTCTCTAAGTTAATCACTGCTAATCCAGTTTGCATGTTGTGAACTAAAGGCTCATGCATATTTTGACTTAATGAAGTATGAAATGTTAATATACTTCTATTTAAGGCACACTACAACCCAGATTTCACAATCTTGCCTTAAAGTCCAGGGTTGGACAAGTTTTTAATTCTAATTTAAATATTGATGGTTCTACAATTACAATTGCTATTATACTACTGCAAGTAATAAAAAATACATTTTATATTATAAGGACAAATATGTCTGTGAACAACGCATCTCCATGTAACACCTACACAATGAACAACAGGTATGCTGACTCCCAGTGCTGGAACGGGGGTCATGAAAAGAGCACAAAAAACTGTGTGAGCTGAAAACAAATGAATACCACATTATATGGAATTATGATTAAGAGCACATTTTCAAAGCCAAGGGAGAAGAATGATATGTATGTACACGAGAAATGTTAACAAAGAAAATGATCCCAGAACTGACAAATGAACAAACACCTCAAAATTATACTTGATTAATAAATAAAAATTACAAATGATGAAGAAAATTGATAATTAGGTAACAAAAAGGATCCGGTAGCAAGGGAATAGGCAAAAGTTGTATATGGTATGAGGTGTTAAAAAAGCTATCCTCATGCGTATTTATAAAAGGCACAGCTTTTTGAAAAAATATTTTTAAAATTAGGTTAATATGGTATAAATAAACCAAAACTGGTTTTGCAGACTGGATCTGTTGAATCTTCCATCAGATTCCTGAATACTCTACCACAACAGACCGTTCAGCACTGTTTGCCAACATTGTCAATCAGTCCAAAGAATTAACCTTATGTATGGTTGGCCGCTTGGTGGTCTGAAAAGCCCAAATCTGAGTTGTAGCAGAGTATACTGATGCTCTATCTTCTAGGATGAAAGTAGTACAGCTTCTATCCTATGCAGCATATAAACGGAAGGGAAAAGTCAGACAGCATATCTTTCACACACAGAAATGATTACAATTTAGAAATGGATTCAGACAAAGGGAGCCCTACTTGAATGACCAGAATTTTAAAAAAATGTTTTATATTTCAAATATATTGCTCTCACTTTGTATTCATGCATAATCAACAAGGTGTTTACAGAGAAAATCTGTCAGTTTCTTTCTCTAAAAGATGTTAGGTATTCCCAAAACAAGTTCATTTCATTATCTTCTACGTAAAGCTCACAGTAAAGATGCCAGAAAAACAATTAGGAAAGATAGGGTTGGATCCAGAATTACTACAGGTGGAGTTCTGGTCAAAGAAAGGGTCTTACAAACACATTTTTATCTGTTCAGCCTTTCCTCTGTGCATTGTGAATGCTCTAAAAAAATCTGCACTGAATATTTAGGGAACTCACTGAAAGAGTAAAACAGTGATATTGGAAGGTGGAATTGGTGCGGGTGTTGATTGACTGTATCTTTTTTGTTCATGGCAGCCTCTTCTGGATCCAACTCTATATTAATAGTTCTCATTTACATTAATATCCCAAAGCCTAATAAAAAGTGTAATCAGCATTAAATAACCCTAGGAGTACATTTCTTACCTGCTTCACCTGAAGTCCGTGGCTCCATATTCTTTCCAAAAGATCGCAGAGACTGGCTATTAATGTGTTTTCTTCCACTCCTGTAATGTTCACCTCACCATGACCAAGTTCTACGGCTTCTCGGCCCATTTTTTCCACAAGCATCCTTTTTGTCTTTCAAAATAGAAAGCACATGTAAAAGTTATGATTGCTTTTTGAAAAAGTCAGAATTCTCTATTACCTCAAATGAGCAAGATAAGCAGCAATACAATTAGTTGTTGAACTAATTACAGTCTGAAATATACTATATTTCACAGATACAAAATCAATGGGTTTTTTTTCTCATTATGACACTCTGCCAGTACTGATTACTTATCTACTATACATTCATCTGCCAAAAGAAAAATTAAAATATTTGATTGACTCAGTAATTTTTTTCTGCTATGTTTTATCATTTATATCTGCTTTCATTTAGCAAATCCACAGCTTCCGTTCTGCATTATCTGAATAACAAGCAAGAAAGCTGCTAGATATAACATATAGGGAGCTGAAGCTCAAACAAGGAGGAAATATATGTTCTTCCTGTATTTCAATATCTGCTAAAAGCCACTCTTGAGCACTGGGAAACCCATAGAATATCATGATTGTTATGTTTCCCAAAAAGGAAATCAAAGGCAAAAACTTTTCATTTTTATAAGAAACTCTCCTACTCAGTGGGTTAAAATAATGTGCTTATATATGCATGGGATATTACTATACTATTCTTAGCATACCTATATTAGCCTCTAAACAGACAAAATATGGAATAGTACAAATAGAACAACAATACTCACTTGATCCTAATGACCTAAATACATTTACATTACATTATTATACATGTACATTACATTATTATAATTCTAGATTTATAATCATGGTTAACAAAAATAGCAATCGCTGAACCATTCCAAGACTTTTTCTGATCACTGTTCGATATAGAACGGAAAATGTGACTTTAAATCATAAGATATAGCTATGTTTCATAATACTTCTTTTGTTTGGGAAGAAGATATTTCACATTAATTTTATTCTGGAAGATTCACTGTATTTTGTAGAGTCAGAAATGGGACAACAGAAATGGATAATGTATATTGGTATATTTTCCATAGGTTTTGCCATTGTCAGTAAAAACTGAAAATTAAATTAGATGGCCTTTTTCTGAAGTTTGTTGTTCCTATTCATCAAACCACAGTAGTGCATGAAGTAGTTCTAAGAAGTAATACACTACTTGCGCATTTCAGCCTAGAAAGTTGAAGTCAAAATATGGAGAAACTGTATGTTATTAGAATAAATCCATCATTAGAATAATCACATTAGCAGAATATCCTGATCCACAGACTTATTTCCATCCCAAACAAAGGAGCATTTTGTATTCACTGAAACGTTCAGTTTTGCCTCATTTGTTTGAAGATACTACATCAAAGGATATCAGTATTATAAGAATTAATCTACTATAATGGTCCAGCTAATTCGACTCCTCTGAATAGCAGAAGCTAGAACAATATTGTCAAGAATGATATAATACCTTATTTCGGCATTCCTTCAGCAATCCTTCAACAAATTTCCAATTAGTCTGGGCAATTACTGATGGTGACAGATTAGACAATTTGGGTTGGCGAATAGTGCTACCCAGATTTCGAGCTTCTTGGATGTATTTCTATAGAAAAAAAGAGCAAAAGATACATAAAGATATAATTCTAAATTTAACAAGAAAGCAAAATATATATCTCATAAAACAAGACTATATTTTATGATGGATTGCAAATAGTATTTTTAATTAATGTTCCCACCTAGTTTTAAATAGCCTGGCTGTAATTATCCTACATTTCACTGCAAAAGTAATACTTTCTCAATATTACAGAATCATGCTTTCTTATATTTTTGAAATAGCACAGTAAGGTGTTATTTACGTGTAACTAAGGTTTTTCCAGTGGCCTTCTGTGCAAAATACCACTGAGAGCTGAGCTGTTTTTAAAGGAAGGATATTCTACCCCTATGTGTATGATAATGCTAAGAAGGTACCTCATGCCTTCCATTAGCTGATGTAGACCCTCAGGGGAATGATTGCCTGTGAGAGGATAGAGGTGGGTTGTATGAATGCACAGATAACATGTCAACAAATTACAGTTGCAGTAAGCAACCTGTTCTTCTATGCAAGGATTCTGTGCATCACACAAATGGGTGACTAGCAAGTTATACTTACAGAGGACAAGTAAAGTAAAAAATGGACACTAAAAGGCAATCCTCTGTTTCCAAAGGGTTCACTAATCCTTAACCTGTTTTCCAGCTTATATTATTGAAAAATATTGTGATCATGTCGCAGTTCAGTAACTATTTGGTAAGACAAATGTTTAAACCACAAAGCTATAAAATAGTAAGCCCTAATTCTTTTTGATGAGGGTAGACTTGCCAGCTAGCATGCCAGATGGGTAGTAGATGCCACTCAAAGAACAAGCTATTGAAATAAAACTTTGTCCTTGCTTATGGGACAAATCGCAAAGGGCAAGTCAAAAAATGCTGCTGAACCCAAGAGGCACTATTATAGGGGATATCTGTATATGGAGCCAAAGAGGCTGTGCAGTTTGGCCAGAGCTCCCAGGTAGATGGAGTCAGGCAAGATATGGTAGGTAAGATAGAATAGAGGTCACTGGGTGAGCCATTAGAAGAAAGGGGAGTCCTGCAGTCTGGTGCTGGTCCCTATTTCTAGCTCAGCTGCTTCATTCCAAGTGCCTAGAGGATAGATTACTGTCAATTTTGGCCTCAATCAGTTGTTAGTGAATTCCAGGTTCACTTGTAAGTTATCTACATTTATCCACAATGTAATAGTGGATAGACTGACCTAGCATGTATTACTGAAAGATTGTTAAGTGAAGGTTGAAATGTTAATCCTTTCAGAGATCTGTCATCCTAGGTTTTGGAAAGTATTAACAGTTGTGATGTCAATTTAGGGTTGGGAAATGAGAAATAGATTTACAGTTATCAGAATTTCTACTTTTGTGATGATAAAGTGTAAAATGATACAAGTTGGAATATTCTACTTGTGTATTGTTCTTCATACTGCCTGATCTGATGGGGTTTCCTGATCTTTGACGTCATCTCCTATTATTATACTTGAAGATATAAATCTCTATGCTCTGAGATGAGGTGCTAGGAAGGCTAAGAATCCATGGCTTCCATGGTGACCTCATGGTCACCCCACCATCTGACACCAATGGCTAGTTCAACTTGGATTGTGTGGATATATATAGTGGATATGTGATCTGGATATGGAGGATGCTGCTGATGAGTCTGATGGTTAGATCATTTCCTGGTGTCAATGTCACCTAAGATATTTACAAGGTGGTAGGACTGATTAAGATTTAGTTAAGGTGCTGTACACCAGTGAACAAGCCCAGCATCTTAACCTTTGTACATTTAAGGTGCTTTATTAATATAGGTAGTCCCTAACTTACAACCATTATTGAACCCAACATTTCCATTGTTAAGCAAAACAATTATTAAGTGAGTTTTGCCTCATTTCATAACCTTTCTTGCCACAGTTGTTAAGTGAATCATTGTAGAGGTTAAGTTACTAACACAGTTGTTAAGTAAATCTGGCTTCCCCATTGACTTTGTTTGTCAGAAGGTTGCAAAAGGTGTTGACAGAATTGTCATAGGGCCACTGTGATGCATTTGCACATTTTACAAATACTGCAAAAGGTCTCAGGTTTTGTTGAGGTAATTCCCCGTTAGGAGAATGAGCGCATACAGGGAGACGTATTTGAGAGGAGTGTTTGAATAATACACACAGAGCACACAGATACACTGTACAGTAAATGTAGGTTTTTACTTCCAGAAAGGTTTAAGCAAAGTCCAAAATAAGCAATCCAAAGTCATTCACAGGTAAATCAGTCAGTTTTCATCCAGATAATCCAAATATCAAATTCCAGTGTCAAAAACAGTTCAGTATCAGACTTACATTAAATCCAGTAATATCAGTCAATTAGAAGAAATGGAGCAACGGCAATATTTTCCAACAGAAGGAAACAGAGATATTCACTCAGACACACTCTCTTCTGAGACTAAGACTAAACAAACCAGGTTTCTGGCTCCATCTTATGGCCGTTTGAGAAACCACACCTAATTACAGTTTTGCATTTTCTTAAAGTTACAGTTTTAAAATGTTTATCCTGGTTTATATATTTCTAACCCAAATAGCTGTTAGGTGACCCATATTCCTAACAGGTTTCACCTCTCTCGACTGCATGAGTGGCATTCAAAGGGATGACTGGACTGATGCTGTTCAATCTGATACTGGATTTATTTCAGCTTGTGGACTCTGGTGAAGTGAGCATGGTACTTTCTAGCATAAACATTGCCACTTGCGAAATGCTTCTGTGAGTTGGGGAGGAGATCTAAGTCGCTTGATTGGGGAAGTGGTCAGCATTTCATTAATATAGAATTATGCTTTGTGAGTTGAAGATGGCAGCAGTGCAGCACCTTCATAAGGGGTTGTGTTGAGAAGTTGGTGGGGCTTCAGTTATACAGAACCTTAGAGCAGGAGTGTCAAACTCAAGGTCCGTGGGCCATATCCAGCCTGCTTAAATCTGGCCGGCAGAGCCGGCCTGGAAATAATAAAGGACTGGCCCGTGGTGCCTCTGGCAGCCAAAATGAGCCACGGGGGGGGGGGGGGGTGTGCCCCCCCCCCTGCCCCATTTCAGCCAGCAGGTTGCTGTCCATCCCATCTCCCCTATCACCCACTCCCGGTCGACCCACAGAGGGGCTAATCTGGCTCTCAAAAAAATCCAGTTTGACGCCCCTGCTTTAGAGGAAGGAGACTGTACATTTTTATGTTTCTTGTTTTTTATATGTGGTTTTATCTGTTTATAAAATGCTGCCCAAGTCAGTTTCATATTACAGTAATGTCTACACAGTTTCCTATATAATTTTCAACCATGTGTAAGCAGGGATGGGATCCAACTGGTACAACTACCAGTTCTGTCTATTACCGTCATGCGCACATGCACAATTCGCACGAGTGCAATTTACAACCTGCTGAGCTGCCTGGACAGCTGAGCAGCACTGCGTGCAAGTGTGCAGCAGTTGGAAAAGCCCTTGTTTCCTGCTTTTTCAACTGCAGCTGTGTCGCACAAAGCAGCTGCAGTTGAAAAAGCAGGAAATAAAGGTCAGGTAGGAGCCCGGGTGGGCCAAAACAGCAGTAGACATAGAACCGGTTCTATGTCTGCTGCTCTTCAAAGCAACCGGTTCTACAGAGGTGGACGGAACCGATAGAAACCCACCCCTATGTGTAAGAGACTTGCCATCGCCATCTTCTGGGTTTAATTTTGGGTTTCTTTCTCTTACTTGGGTTAGCTTCTCTCACCATTTTACAGCCTCACCATCCCTCATGTTGTGGATTACATTCTGCTTTATTCCCACCTTTGAAATTATTGATCCTATCATAAGTTCTGGTACTGCTTTCAAGGTTCCTGAAAATGTAAAGCCATATCTCCAACTAAAGATGGTATCCCCCACAAATTACAACTACCAAAAGCTGAGTCAAAGATGCCACATTTGTCTATCGTGTGTAATAAATTCCCTTAATTTTTTTTTCTATGGAATCAAAGCTGTATGTCAACCATTCTCCTGAATAAATAGACATAGCTTTAAAGATTTGGAATGCTTTTTCCTTTCTTTTGGTAGAAGAAAATCAGGAAAATTACATCACTACTTATAGAAAATGTTGCTTCTATTGCTGGATAATGTAACAACAGTTGTTACCTCTCTCTGATCGTTATCAAGACGCAGGTGCTCTGTGTGCTGTTTCTGTCTGTCTTTCCTCCTCCACTGTGCAGGTGCATTGCGTTTGGTCCATCTAGAAAATCAAAAGTGGTATTCTTTAGATACACTAGATAAATAAGGTCAAATATGTTCATTCCTATCTGGAAGTGCTAATAATAATACAGTTTAATTGCCAACATGTCGTTAGAACCAAGTATGCTAATAAGAATGAAAACTATGGTGTGGAACTACAGGAGTCAAACACATGGGAGAAAATAATTGCGGCGTTTTTTTTTTATTTTTGTTCTTCCATATAAAAATGAACTATCTTGACTGTGAGATGATTACTGTTGTATAACTTTTAAAGTGAATGAGACTTGCTAGTTTGTTTTGTTTGCTTTTCCCTTAGTGAAAGCCTAAACTTTTTTTTAATTTACTTTAATTACAATTCCTAAATTTTTACATTTTAATAAATAAACTTTTCATTTTCTAGACAATGTCTGCATTTACATAACACACTTAACTGTGACAAATAAGTTGTGATGGCATGTAACATGAGTTGTGATGACACAGCAGGGAAAGAGAATAGGACAGTTGATTTTATTCCAAAACTGACTTGGGGTGAAACTGTCCCTTATCAGCTATATCATTCAGACAGCAAAACCGGTTAACAGAGAATAAACTCTTCTACCAGCTGTGAAACATCAACTAACATTCTATACAGTTTCCAGAAGAACAGTCACTCTCACTCTCTCTCTCTCTCTTTCTGTGTTCTTTATTTTTTGCACCTTGTGGCAATACTAAAGGAGGGAGGAAGTATGAGAATTTTCCTCTGGAAGGGAAAGACATAGAAGGAAGTAGGCATTCCTCAGGCACCTTTGCAGTGACTATGGGGTTTCATTATTGGCTTTTCACCAGAATACAGATGATCATATGCTATTGATTGGCAGGTTCTAAGAATCAAGAAAGACACTTGTGGATCTAGTTCTGGGAAGTTTCTTTTATTGTTCTTCACTTATAGACTTGCCAAACTAAAGCAACTATTTGCAACACTATAGATGTACTCTGTGAATTGTTAGGGAAGAGCTTTCTTAAGTCTTTCTCCTGTCCAAATTTTCCATGCTTTACTGCTTCTTTGCCCTCTGGAATGCAGTCCATTCCTCCTGGGAATCCAGACTACATCCCACCACATCAACACACTGAATTACTGCAAGTCACTTTTCTGAGGGAGAAGCTGATTCAGTTACCTATGTCATATTAATACAGCGATACAATACTCACTTATTGCTTGCTGGCCCCGTTGAAAGTACATCAGATTGTAGCTTGGGGAAAAAGCCAGGTTCATATTTTCCTTGTCCAATCTTCATATCTAATAAATGAGGAAGGACTGCAGTATGGTCTATTTTTGCCAGTCTTAACTCAATAGCTTTTTCTGGGGTGGGGGAGGGAATCAACATTGAATCATATTATTATTTAGCATAGCTGATGTTAAATTGTGAAATAAAATAATAAAAATCTGAATCCTAAAATATGAATTAGGACATTACTGCTAGAAATACATATTCTGCACAAATACATAAAAAGGAGTGTCTTGATACAATTATATTGCATTCAGTAGCTCATTAAAACATATTGATCCTACACCATTTTTCTCAACTGTTTGATAGTGTAATTTGCATCCTGACGCTTTGTCTCTGACTCTATGTCATTACACTATGTATTGTTAGGAGAATATGGGCAACAGAAGGTTGGCTTGCACAGATTATAAATTACAGATTCTGACATAGTATATCATAATGTGGGCATTAATTAATAATAATGGTAATAATTGCATGGCTTATTTTATTGAAAATTATGATTTGGAATGCATGTCCCAAAAGTGCTTTCATTAAAAGGCAACTGGGTTTTCTTGTTTTATTTTTCTTTTCACAAGAAGGGAAACTTTTTCATGAAGTTTCCACAAAGTCATAAAGTATGAACTGGTATTATCTAGGATATTATGGGTGCATAAGAAAATAGAAACCCATAAGCTTGTGAAACCTACATGTTACATTCCAAAAAATAGTAATAATGGTAGATCCAGGGTAAGCTTCTGGAGGAAACTATGCAACATTCTGAATGAATATTATCCAGGAGGGGAAAAAATACTTTACTTAGTGATTAGGCAAGAAAGTACAGAAAAATTGACTGGGCTGAGACTAAGAACAAATGTGAATGGTGATTTTTGTGAATAGTTGCTTAGACAAAGTCTATTTGTTTCAAATACATGGTTTAATAATTAGCTTATTCATGTCTCTATATGGAAAAGAAAGGAAATAAATCTTAAAGCATGACTGACTTCATTATTTATGATTAAATATTTAAGTTTTACTGAAGGATGTAAAGGTTGTGATGGCTTCTGGATATGGAACAACTACGTGATGGTAATGGATCATTAAATCATTAAAATGTATCAAAGAAAAGGAAATAATGAAATAAACTAGTGAAAGCATAGTGACTGCAGGAAGAGAAAGTACAAGTACTGAATGAAAATAATAAATAAGGAGAGACTGTGATAACAATATTGATAAAATTAATAATTGTTCTGTAAGTGGATAAAGGCAGCTATTCAAGGAACCTCCAGTAGAATGACTAGAAAGATATAATAAATGATATAGGTATAAATTATTTTTAGGTACATTTTCTTTTGTTACCTGTTTTAATTTTAATTTTTTATTTTCTAAACTCTTGCTTACCCTATTTATCATTTTAAAATGCTGCTTCAGTTGTATTTTAGATACACATAAGTGAGTAGTAGCTAAGTTGGTAGCTAGTATATCACTAGTGTCCTGTACCTTTTACATTTATTTAAATAAGAATTAAAATTTGCAACTCTTACCAGCTTCATCAATGGTACTGCATTTTTGATACATGGATGTGCGCAAAGTTGGTGTTCGAACATTTAACAATCTTATTTTATCAACTCTAAAATCAAACACTCTCAAGATAGGATCTTTATCCTCTCCATCATGACACATAATCTTGTTGTCAATAAAAGAAGCAAACATCTGCGTCTCCAAAAATCTTGAGAGGAAAGGCAAATAAGGTTCCGGCTGATCAGACAAGAAGGATGCCTAATAAATGAAAGAAACAGTATTTATGTTTCTTTAAATTGTAATTGCTTTTTTTTTTAAATGACATGAATGTTTTCATTCATCTAAAGTTATTTTCTATTTTATCATATTCTACTACAATACATTCTGAAAAACATTAAAGATTCTATGTTTTTCCAACTCCTAGAATTGTATAATTCTTAGGAAAAATTGAAAATCATAAACTTTTGGAAACAACTATACTATAGGATTCAATTACTATACTTGATCAATTTTTAATTAATGGAAATTATAACAATACACCTGCACTTTTCTCTCTATTTTGCTGGAAGAATTACTGTGCCAAACTGTACATGCAGGAAAAGCTGCTTCAAATGAAATCAGATTTAGTTAGTAGCAGTGACTCTCAAAGATTTCAAACATGAATCTTATATCCATCTTTGATCTCTTCCTTTAAAATGTTGTGACATTTCAGGAATTCAACAATATACAAAGAAGAAGGGAATTAGTATTAGAAGAAAAATACTTTAAAGCCATCATGTTTTCGTATCAGCCTTCTGGATGTGACCATGACAACTAATACAGCAAATATATTACATCAAATATAGCCATTAAATAAGTATATTTTCCTCAAATCTTAATAATATATTTACTATCATGAGTAGTATCAGAAAGAAACAAAACACCCTAAACAAGCTATAATTTGTAGCAATATATTGATTGTGATTCATCTGAACAATCACCATTTCTTATTGTTCATAAGGCATAGCTACTCACAATTTATCACATGGCTCTTATGAAAATTAAATGTATCAATGGTTGTT